TATACTCTTACTCTATCCATTGGTGTTGTGCCTTCATCATACTACAAGAATGCACGCTCGCTGTACTCATCTGCGTAGAAACTGGTCTTTTGGCCCGCAATCCTGCACGTCGACCCATCACCTCCGAAGCCAAAGACATTTTTAATTTCCGTCACTTCTTTGCTAGTCGTTCCTAAATGTCTTCGTCCGACTTGTCCACTTCGGCCGAAGGTGGTGCAGGTTTAATGTTGTTCTCCTTGCTAGCAACTTCATTCCCTCCCAACACTCCTTCGTTGTTTGCAATCTCTCTTTCATGTAAATCTGTCATTGACTTTCTATGACAAGGTCATTTTGTTGTATTTGATTTCCTTCCATTCGCACAATCCGGTTGATCGCGTCGACGCATGATGCTGGAATAAGATCCGCATCATGAACATGTACTCTCCTGCTGCTGCTCTTGATTGTACCTGAGCTGAACGAAATCAAATCGATGTTTTGCGACTTCCTAGATCATCGATCTTCCAAACAACTTTTTTTACGGATTAGACTCCATTGCTATCGAAGTACTTCAAACCCATGTCGACCAACTACATCGGTAATTATTTCTTTGAAATTGATGAGGGTTTTGTGTTCATGTGCCATTTCGTGATCACGCCGGATAGCGACATGGAGTTAGTTGCGACAGTTTTTCTATCGAATATTGATTCGATTCGCAAGTATGTCTTGTTCTCAAGACGTCATCAATAGTCTGCACTAACGTGCAGAACATTGATGACGTCACTTTGATTGACAATGTAAAGCTCCCTCGCGTTAATGTGAAAACATTGTCCAACAAAAAACTAATGAACTCAGTTGTTCATTAGTTGTCAAGTATTTTTTCATTCCTCCGGAGGAGCTTTTGTACTATCCGGACATTCCTACCGATGAAGTCCATCATGAGGAGAAAGATACGCTATCCAAATCTGCTTCGAAGAAAACGAGTAAGAAAAAAGGTGCCGTCGAGGTTGTCAAATCCAAGAAATCAGGTCCTAGCGCCCTATTAAGCCAGTATCAATTTCACTTGGTTAGACATCAATCCTAATAGTTTTTAATAAAGATTGAAGATGTTAATGAAACCTATGGATTAAATGAAGCGATCAGTGTTGTTTTGGAGTCAATCATATGATTATTCGTAGAGATTTCGGCTTTTTGCGAGACCTAGGGTTCTTGGATGACATGTATCGTTGCTAATAGGTTTAGTTGTCAATATGCAAGCGGTTTGTCGACATTTTTCGTGAGGCCAATATGTAAATACTCATCTCCATTTTTAACTAACAGCAAATTATCATCAGCTTAAAATTTCAAATATCAACCTGAACAATGAATGTTCTCATATGTGACATATTCATTGTGAATGTGATGGTGTGCAACATATAAACAGTAATTCAGCTCAAAATATGTTAGAGAATTACATAAGAGTGTGTAGTTAGTAGATGTAATTGGGATTGATTTGCATGTTTGTAAATTTTTTTCAGTACATGTCATACATTTGAAACTATTTATTCAGTAGATGTCATACATTTTAAACTATTTCAAAAGCTAAAGATCATTTCTTAGAGTTTATTGGGTACAAGTTAGTCTAACACATAATAGCCATTTCTCATGAAAGCTAGTCACATCGTGAAAGAGCATGTAAAAGTAAGATTTTGTAAAAGTATGTTTCACCATACTTTCCCAAAAAAAATTGTCACAATTCACCAAATGAATATATATATATATATATACTTACTTACTTACTTACTTACTTAGATACATATGCACACAAACACATCAATAGTCACCATCAAGTTACATTAGTTCGGACAACTTGCAACAAAAGAAATGAGAATCATTAGTTGAACACCAAAATTAAACAAAATGTATGTCACTTTTATTTTTTCAAGCACTATGTAATAAAAAATAAACATCATAATATGTAAAGCTGAAATTTGTATATTTATGATGTAAAATGGCATGTGATTTAGTTTGATTACAAAATAATCTAGAAAAAATTTAAGATTCAATTTTAATTTTTTTCAATTTGAGATTAATCAATAAGAAACATGTACATATACATTCAATTACTAATTTTCTACTGCATATCAATTACGTCAAGAACATGAGTTATTCAAATTCGAAAATTTGTGTGAGGTTTTAAGTTGATAATTTAGATCATCATGAATGAGATACGCAACAAACTATTGACGAGATGAATAATTACAATCCAACAAATTCCAGGAACAAAGTTTGTGAGTATGTCTTTTTGAAATACACATGCAAAAAATATTAAATGTTCAAATGCAAGAAAAAAATGAATATCAATATCTTGTTTTATTAATTTTTATTAATTTTGAGAAATGATCACATTTCAATATCATACCACAAATATTAACATCATTTTTTCAACTGATATTTGTTAACATACAAGATGAAAAACATCAAATTATCAGATATATTTATATTTATTTATTTACCAACAATTTCAAATTTACACATGATTAGATAGAATTGAGAATGAAAGCTGAAAAGTAATGTGAACTTATATATATAGTACTGATGTTATAGTTCTACATAGAGTAAAGTTTGAGGATAATAATTTGTAAATTAAATTTGATTAATACATAAATAAATAATGATTCAAATTTCTTAATTCTACAACGTGATATCAATAATTTGATATATTATTAGATACTTATGTGAATTCTATGTCTATTAATAATCATTTTGGATTTTCTGGATTTTTAATCCAAAAAGATAATATTCCAAAAATATGCATGTCGTAAAGACTATGATTGAAAATTACATGGTTCATATTTCTGAGTCTACATAATCATCAGGCCACAAAGTGTTTTACTGAAGATTAGCATTTTACATAGAGCTTCCAAAAACACTCTTTTGTAATAATGAAAACTAAGTCTAGTTACTGAATACACTCGCTTAAGTACGCATCCCGTCTAAGTCCGCATTTTTCAGACGAAATGTTAAGGATCAAAATTCTTGAGGTCAAAGTTTTGATTAATGATGGTGATGCTAAAAAATTATGATAACTTGAAACGAATATTTGCATGTATGAGTCAACATGTTGATTTCTCACGAGAGATTAGCTCTCTCTTCCTTTTGGCACTCCGGTTGGATATCAATCTTTTAATAACTGCTTGAATTTGAGTCTACTAGTTTGCATCCTACTTCCTTTCCATGCGTCTCGAACCCAGTTTCATCCTGAGAAGCCTTCACTGATATCAATCTTTACGGACTTACCAAAAAATCTTAAATTAACTGTCTCGATTAATCACTAATCGAAATTTGTTCGATGTAGACGTTGTTGAGTAAGAACAGCACAAAATAATTGTAATAGAAATTGAGTCGGAAATTAGCGATACCTTTCTTTAACAATTGCCATACAAGGATTATTAATAATGTCAATGTTAACCTCTAAGCACAAGGTTTTATAGTTTTTTGAAGTGGGATTTTTTCCTTGTTATTAAGATCCTTTGACAATAGTAAACATAGATATACTTCGACAGACATAGAAATCATAAGATGAGATATTACTAAAGTCTGCATCCCATACAAGTCCGCATCAACCTTTGCAGATCAAACTGTGTCCTTAAGCCAAGTCATACATACTTTATCACATAGATAAAGTCAATCAAGACTTAAAAATAATTGGAAATTGTTAGATGAGATCAACATTCCTTTTAGTTTCTTAATTTCAACACAAAATTACAAATCATAAATTAATATTATGAATTTGTAATTCTATATTTGTAATTATATGGTTTAAATTACTTTTCAAATTGTAAGAATTTTTTATTCTCTACATATTTGAAATCTGTATAAAAAATATTAAATATATATTAGATAGCTATAATAAACACAATATAGCTACTTTGTAATGATCTAAGTACTGTAGATTATCCATATATCACAACATTGCAATTTTCAATAAATTCACAATCTGTGTATGTTTATAACATAAAAATATTCCATAGAGAAGTTCACCAAATATGTTATTGTATAAAGATGCCTAAATTAGTGGATTGATTCATCCAAATTCTACTCGTTTTATCGAAGTAAGAGTTGAATCAAATTCCTAAATTGCATTTTATGAAGAATTATCATAAAAATAAACATTAAGTTAAAACTTTAAAGGAAAAAAAAATCATAAATTCATAAAGTACATTTCAAAAGCAAAACTCCAAGAAGTGACAAAAGTATTCTAGCATATAAGAGATGTTTTTTTTTTGTGGGAATGGTATATGGATGAATCAAGAGGAATAAAGAAGACTAGTACCGGATCATCACAATGAACATGATGAATTTTAACATAAGAGATTTACCAAGTATGTAGCTAAACATGTCTACACGACAGGAATGTATCCTAACCTATATATGGATCAAATTGACCAGTGCTAAATGCGGAGAAACCGTATGCACATTGATGAAAACAATGTTCAAGTAATATGGCAAAAATATGTGAAGATGCCATCAAAATTTCACAGGTTTTTAGCCATATAGAAATATGTAAAATATCAGTGGTTTCGGTAACATCTCAGTACACTTCAGATATTTTTACTATGTAGATAAGATGATATTCAAGAAGCATAAATAAAAAATTAATTAAATGTTGAACATAAATCCAAAGCGATTAGTGTAGACTATACCATGCCATGAAATGAGCTATACCATGTAAAAGAAATTGTAACAGGCCATCGCTGAGTTATCCCAAATACAACTCTGCATCACGTACAGCGCAACTGCAGATTGTCGAATCTTAACAACTGAAACTCCGGGGAGAAGAAGAAGAAAATACGTGGAGTCGAACTTACGAACAGCCAACCGCGGCGCAGTGGAAAAGCAGAACGCAAAGCAACCGACGAGAGTGGAGTGTGCGGGACGACGGCGACAGTAATAGGCAGCCTCTAACTTCTGGTCGAGGCATGTTCCTGTCCGTGCCTCTGACGATCCAGAGAAAGCAAAGCAACGGAACGGAAAGGCTAAATAACGACAAGCAGCAGCTCGTGGGCGTGGCCGGGCCATGGCGCCAAGATCCGGACAGGACAGTGCCTGGAGCTCTCCTGCTGAGAGAACGCTTTGGCTGGGCTTCCGTGCTGGATTCCTTCCCAAGGGAAGCTTGGCTTGACCGACTTGCTCACTGGCTGAATGACAGAGCGGCGGGTGAAGTCGAGTGAGTGGCAGAGGGAGTGGAGGGAGTGACAGATAGTCAGAACGACAGGTAGAGATAGGGAGGCTGCATATTCAGACGGAGCAGGAATGGTGATGGTTTAGACCAGAGGGAGCAGGAAGCGCAAGGACTCTCTCATGTTCATTTCTGCGAACGGATTGGTGTGGGTGGATTCTCTCATTGGCGCTTGCTTTCCTCTGGGAAGAAACGGAGGTCGGACGTCAGCGCCTTGGATTTCTCTCTATGCGAAAGAAGAAGACGGGTGGTGGTGCAGGAGGAGGATGTAAGAAACGTTCGCACTAGTGGGGAACAGCAGCCAGCACTCGTCCGTAACTTAGCCTGAAAAGTTAAAACACGAAAGCAGAGTAAGATTTTTATTCTATTGGGGGCGTCGAGGGCAATAGGGATTGTCGAGGTGGCCTAGCCTCTAGTGGGTCCGATCAACTTTGAAAAAAGGGAGGCAAGATATCAAAGGCAGGATTCAGCCTGTGGGATCCGTAAATTCGGTCTCGCTGTACGGAGGATTTTGGAGCTCTCGGTGATGGGTTGTGGCGGATTGATGGAGTTTTTTGTAGGGGTGTAGGAAAGTGTTGCCCCATATGCAGAGTGGAGCACTTCCCGTGGGGGTTTCGGTGATGGCGCCTAAGGCGCATTTGGAGGGCACTCTCTTTAGATACGGTTCCAAAAGCGTTCAGGTAATTTCTTCTGAGAGCGATTGTTCAGTCTGCGATCGGATTTTTGCCTGTGTTTCCAAAATCGAGTAAGCATCGAGTCCAAAAACCACGATAGAAGAGCTTTGAAGTTCTGCAATTTAGAGGTACCAGCGAATTCTAGGGTGTTCGATTTAGAATCCATTTGACGTCAAGAGCTCGACATAATCTGTCGAATCCGTTTCCAAAAATGCCCGTTTGGAAATGTAATGCCAGATGAGTGAATACGACAGTGTGGCAATTTATCCAGTGTTTAACATTAAAGACCACTGCTCTAAATCGGTTGCCAGTGGACGTTCTCTGTATCATTGACCAGCTGAATAAAAGTCATATTTTGAAAATCGTTTACCTGTATTGCGTTCAAAACATGTTTAAACGTGGAGTGCATTCAGCGTAGATGCATACACCGGCGAAATCTTTCCATGTCTGTCACTGAAACTACGTCGGCTCAGGAGTTGTACAAACAACTTGCCAACAACGCATCAGTTTGGAATATCTGCAGTTCACTACTTGAGGAAGGATGCTATGTGGACTCAGTAGTAGAGCATCTTGTTGCAGAAGGATAGAAACTTGAAGAACCAAAATAAGGCTCACTGTACGTGGCTACGAGCAGCAGATAGATACTTTCTATCCTCCCTGGTGTAGGTGTGAGCCGATGCTAAATTTGGATCCCTGATGATTAGGTGTAGAGTTCCTCCGTGGAAGCTAAGCGGGACTTACGCAAAGATGCTGAATGGTGGAATTTAACGGCCATGGGTATCCAGAAGGGAACCATAAGTCCAAAACTAGAAGGATTGAACTGGTTTTTCCGCAAAGCAGTGTCCCGAAGATATATGTATGTTCATCTTCAATGTAACATCCAAACTTCTTAATGTAGGCTGTGTAGCACATGATCGAACTCTGGAACTATGGAGATAGCCGTGGACATGTACCACAGCGTAGAAGCACGAAGAAAACCCGACATGGTGCTGATTATTCTTGACTTCCATGCAGACTTAGTATCTCTCTGCTGCATCATTTAGGCTGCTCGTCGCTTCGAGAAGATAGAAACTACGAATAATTCTCGACGTCTCACTTATTAAAGCACAGGCACAAGTCTTTAATTAGCGTCTCACCATTCTATGTTTTATTATGTTGATCGCAGCTCAGTTGATTGGGTTATGACTGAAGCTAGTACTTAGCTTGTCTTTTATCTTTTCTTCGATCCCAGAGATACTTCTTAAATTATGAGAGAGATCCTGCTCACTGTCAAATTGTCCTTTCTTCTTACTTCCTCTTTCATACCGCGTACCTCTTCCTTCTAATGCTATCTCGTCGTCTAGCACTATCACCCCTCAGCCAGGCCTCCAGGTGCATGTTCTTTAGGCTGTAATTGTCAATATTTTTAACAAAGTCTGAAGTTTTTTTTTTCTACTAACCTACTGTATGTGCTTAGAACTATGCTTCTTGTTTTTCACTGTTGTTTTCCACTTCAACTACGTCACTGGGTGCAACATAACGATAATCGCTCTTATCTCACAGGTTGCGTTTCGGAGTGGTGATTTCAAGAAGCAAGTAATATTTTTAGGGGGTCTCACAGATGGCCTCCTTGCTACAGAGTAAGTACGCTATCAGACTCTGTACTATGAATTTTTTAACACATTCTTTGTACTTTTGCGGAGTGAATGTCAGCAGTGAGAGTCCTGCCTTCCTTTTTCCTCCCTGAATTTGAACTTTGGAGTTCCGAATTTGAAGGACAGTACTGTCGATCATATTCATGACTCGCTGGTTAGTATTCTGCATGGACTTGAGTGAGTGGTCAACTTGGATTGCTGATAAAATGCTTATTGTCCATTGTACGGACAACTAATTTTTTCATCGACATCGGTGGTGCGACCATAGAGCACAGTTATAATTAGAGCTTTGCTTTTGAGAAGATCGAGAAACAGGGTAATGTGATCATACTTTGATCCTGTTATTCGTTTTTTTCAGCTATGTCAAACCCTTAGCAGATGCCCTTCTAGATGAGAAGTGGTCTCTCGTACAGCCGTTGCTGTCATCATCATACACTGGATATGGTCAGTCAAGTCTCATGCAGGTTCAACTCTCCACTCTCGCGCCTCACGTTCAAACTTATCAGAAGGTGACCAGTTTCTATATGCTGCTTGATTTATAACATCAAGAGCAGGAACTGGCATATTCTTCCTTTTCATTTCAGCTGTTGTTCAGATTCAGGCTCATTTTGACCACATCTTCAGTGTTCAGTCGTTGTTGTCTGATTCCATGCTTATACTATTGGCTGTTTAGTCAAAGTCTGAAGGCTATTAAGAGAAATTTAGACCTAACTTGTATTTGAACTCTTTGGACTTTCCAGGATACAGCGGAAATAGAGCAACTAATATATTTCCTTATAAATGAAGAAGCGTCCCAAGGAGTAATGCTGATGGGCCATAGCACTGGATGCCAGGTTTTCCCTCTCAACCACTAATGTATCATGTGTCTTAACGGGTGTGGCTCCCATCTACTCAACGCACAAGGCATTATAGCTAATTCAGATGTGGATGGTTTATGTTTTGCTTCACTAAATTTGTCCTTAAATTGTGTACTTTAACTGTGTCTGCTACAGAATATTGTTCACTATCTAAGAAGAGGAAGTAGTTGCTCGAAGGCTGTACGAGGAGCTATATTACAGGTATAATGAGAGACAGAAATCATTGCTCAATCGTCACATATCTGGCTGTGTGAACTGTTGCTTGCTCTTTCATTCCTTGCTGCTGAGGTTCTTGCTAGTTGCTTCTGAATGTGAAAATCCTTGGACTTGGGAACTGTCTGCAGGCACCTGTTAGTGACAGAGAATATAGAGCTACGCTGCCTGAAACACCTGGTCTTCTCGATCTGGCTGAGATAATGATAAAGGAGGGAAAGGGAGAGGAACTGATGCCACGTGAAGCTGATCCTTGTGCTCCAATCAATGCCCTCAGGTTTTCAATTCTCCTATTAGACGTTACGTGTGAAATTTGTACAGCATATGTATCTCTCTTCAAGAGACTTCAAGTACCATTTCTTAATTATAACAGGGCTTTGCAGTTGTTCTTACAGTTTCTCTCCTTTTTTACGTCTAATGTCATACCGATTTCACACCTGGCTTTGATGATAGTATCAAGTCATACGTAAAAGCGTAGAATATTTAGGGGCAAGAAATTTTTCCAAAATATATCGAAGATGGTTCAGTACGCTCGACGAGACATACTGTTGCGATCCTTGTATTGGCATTCGGGATGTCCTAAGTTAATTGGACACGTAACTAACCACCTAAGAATATTCTGATGGTCGTCATGTATATTTCAAGGCATCACCTTTACTCGTGAGCATGTTTTCTTTCTCCAGATATCGATCTTTGTGTGCGTTTCTTGGAGAGGACGATATGTTCAGCTCCGATCTTACTGATGCACAGTTGAAGAACAGATTGGGTCATATGGAACGATTTCCTTGTCAGGTTTGCTCCCATAGCCTTCTTTTGATTGCTTGTCCAGTCTTACCTGCCACTTGTCTTGTCTTATGTTCCTCATTATCATGGATCAAACTGGAAGTAATTACCTTGGCCTTCTTTCAAGCTTTTGTACAAGTGCACTAAAAAGCGTCAACCCAAAAGTTTACGTTACAGTCTTGCTCAGGATGTGAAGCCAAACTGTAATAGCACTTTGATGTATAGTCCTACAAAAAAACTAAAAAAGGGGGAATGTTTATGAGCTTGTGATGAAAGCCAAACTCGCAATTGAGGTTTTGTGTCAGAGCTCCTTGCCTCATGCGGATATAGGTCACGTTTAGGTTTCTACTTGAAAGCTTGAATGTGTGGGGTTGAAGTGGCAAGAAATGCTTTCGCTTGTTTAATGAAAAGTTGTTTTTAATCATCTATTGTCCCGTCTAACGTTGTAGGTGATATTCTCCATGAGAGATGAATATGTGCCAGACTATGTAGACAAGAAGGCACTTGTACAACGGTGAGATACCCACCTTCACTCCTTCTCTATATTCAACTCTAGGAGAAGTGTACGTTCATGTGCTTATCTTCTACACAGCTTTTACGATTTCCAAACGCCGTAGGTTTCAGATCTGAAGTATGCAAGACACATCGGACATCCATCTTGAATCCTTTTTGTTAATCCTGTTCCATTAGTGTCCAACCCTGGATCTGATTGGTAGATGCTGTAAATAATGTTATGCCCCGGAAGCTGACAAGTGGCCTATGATATCGGGGAGTACATTAAGAACAAACCGATGCCTTACGACAAATATACCGAAACCATTGTGTGGGGCTTTAGGCGACGTTCCTATTCCGAGTCAGACTCTGGAGAGGGAAGTGGTCGTCATGTAGTATGAAACCGTTCCCACAGTAAGGGAGGGTATTTGGGTAACCATCTTGTAAGAGAATTCTGAGTTTCGTAAGGTTCATGTTTGATCTTATGTTTCTTTCTCTTATATGTCAGGTTGTGCGTTGCTATGGGTGGGGCCGAGAAGGTTGAGATCCAGTGGGGTAATCACAGTCTTTCAAATCGTGTGCAAGATGCTGTCCGTGCAGTCGTCGATTTTGTTCGGAGAGAAGGGCCGAAAGGATGGGACGATCCTTGGAAATAAGATCCCTAATTAAGGATCTTGGTAGTGGTCGATTATCACTGGAAATTCACATCTGTTGTCTATGGGTTGAAGCCTCATATGCGTGTGCTTTGAATTACAACTAGGAAACTGAGCTTTGAGGATTTCAAAATCGCCCAGTGTCGGGCATCTGCTAGCAAAATTCCGATCCCACTGTCTCCTTGTATATCTGTGGCTCCCTTTTCTATTTGAGCAAATTTTTTGCTTCATTTGTAACCGAAGGCGCTTCAAGAGTTGTTGTGCTCTACATGGGACATCAAACCTGCTTAGCCGGATTATACGCTTCACGAAATTGAACGATTCATCTGTACCACATGCCTTCGGTATATAATTGATATTGGAAATGTGATTGGCGAGAAGGGCGATCGTATGAACCTTGCAGTCTCTATTTATTTCAGTGATGAGTTCTCCTGGTCCCATCCTCTAAGCCTGTAAACATCTTGTTTACAGGATGTTCCTATTTTTTCGCGAATGGATTTCCTAATGTGTTCAGTAAAATCAATTCCGTCTCTTCTGCTACACTCGATATTGCTCAACTAAACTTGTCTAAAATCCTGATCCGAAAGTTTCTGCTCATCATTTACGTCCATGGGCATCTTCAACCGATAAACATATTTTCCAGCAACCTGTCCTTGAAATGCAGAATGTTTCTGCCATGCGCGTGTTTAAAGATTCGGAACGAAGGAATAGCTATAGAAACGAGTCTTTTGAACCAATGAAGATTCCCAACATTCTCGAAATCCTCGTGGACTCTTAGGGAGTATGCCACTTAAGACTGTTGCTGCTTTTTTATCCAGACGTTCCAGATTGCGTTAATCCAAGCCAAGCATGTTTTATTTATATAGGCTGTTGAGTCTTCTGAAATACTGTACCCTGGAATGGGTTGAAGCAGTACACGGTGCCGACACGCACCAGTTGAGTGTTCACGCACACAGCTCCTAAAGCAGTCAAACTATATGCCTTTACCCGGCGTCTCGAGGACATCAAGCTAGTCGAGGGCGAGCAGCTTCGAGCGCCGAGAAGGACGATGATTCTAGTGTAGCTGTTTCCAAGATCATTGTCGTCAAAGTATAAAACTTAAATGGAAGTCGGGTAAACCGAGTATAGGAGAAAGGATCGGAAGACCCGATCACCTCTCACAGTCATTCAACCATGTGGCTAGCCTTAGGAGACAACTTCAGTTTCATCCACGTACGGCTTTCTGAGGATCTTACCGTCCTTTTTGCTAAACATTTCTTACTTTCCGAAGGGTAGAATGGGAAAAGAATGATATTTCATTTGAGAGGCAGTATAATATGAAGAAGGGATAGTAGCTATATTAACAAGAAGTGCAATTAATGCCAAAGACCAAGTGCTTGTAAATTTCTGACAGTCACAAGTATCTCCTACAGTACATCAGACAAGTGTAATGGCCAAATCAGACACAAATCAGACTTGAGCCAGCCACTCAGAAACACCGCATTGCGTGCTCATTGAACATATCGTGGTGGCTCAACAGATATTTCTTGAAAGATCTATTTTTTATTGCTCAGCTGAAGAGAAGTATGTAGGATAATGTCATCAGTGTTGCAGTGGAGAAAGCAAAAACATAAATGGCGAGGAAGAGGGATTACTGGCCAAATGCATCGTCTCCTTCCTGGCAAGCATAGTAACGCATGATGTTGTACCAGAGGAAACGTCCGATCGCAAACGGTGACAATGACTGAATTGAGTTGAGATCAAGGCTTCTTGTTAAACACCAAAGCGGCTAGTACACGATGAAGGTCATAGCCGTTGACGTGTTGCGCCGAAGTAGACGAACATGCGTGCCGTAGGAATCTGAGTCGTGACATCTGATTGGCTCTCGTCCTTGCAAACAGTGAATAATCAGAAGTCACTCACAGACCTATTGACATTGACGTCCAATTAATACCCTGATCTTTTAGGTAAATTTTCGTGGAGACAAGGATGGAATGAAGCTGTACTATTATGAATCGTCAAAGTGACAAGGAATTCATACCGAGTGGAAATACCGAGCCAATTTACAATGGACAAAGTGCGGCAAAAGCTTGCGGCAATATTTGAATCTTACTTCACATTGTTATTAGATCTTATGTTTCTAACTCTCATGTCATTTCCCATACTTTGAGTTCACGAAACCAAAGGTAGTGCTCTTAACATTGCACTCATGGTTGTTGGTGTTTTATTGTACATACTATAACAGAAAGCGGAACTAATTGAACCATTTGATGCATGCAAAGTATTGACCTTGAAACATATGTAAGACTCTATGAAGGAAGTTTGAACTTGTAAACTTCTTGTAGAAAATAATTTCATTTTGCTCTTTGTAATTCCATCCCCATCGGCCTTATTTCTTGGATACACTAGTGAAGGAAGGGACACGTGTAAGAGCCAGGTCAAAAGTTTGGCTCATATATATCGATATGGAGAACAGTCAGATAGCCACAAAGATCCCCTGTATGATGAACTTCATGATGTTTTGGGTCTTCTGTTACTCTTCAACAACTCGACCTCTGATTTGAGTCGTTATAAGTCTTTGTGATTCATGCCTGGGCATGAATCAAAACATATACTGTAACCATCCAAGTTTGACTGTTTTCATCCCTAACATGGTGTCTAAGACCACTTGTATTTCAAATTTTAATCTCCAGTTTTCCTGCGGTTGCGGTTCGGTTTAAATATTCCAAGAACCAATAAGAAATCCACATTCTAGATGTTCCAAGATTAAATATATCCTGCATTACCACTAAAACTTATCTCGTTTGGGTCACACTGCATCTCGTTTTGGTCGAGCACATGCCGGGAACCGATCATGAAAATGATTGATTTAACTAATTAGATTCCCTGATTACAGATTTGGGCGTCGCTCTGACTGCTGGTTTCGATCTCTTTCTAAGAACTTCTCACTGCCTCGAAAACGGTAATCAAGAATTAACAAAGTAGAGAGTGGGGCATAACTCGGCAAAGGAAGCCTTACTGAATGAGGTCGGGCTGTACGTTCTTTATTTGTCATGCTGTTGTGGGTGGTCTGAGCATGTTAAAGTTCGTTCTCATCACATACTTCAGTGCCCGCGGATATGACCTCCAAAATCAGCCAGTCAGGACTCCGAAGGGCTCGTACACCTGCTTCTTACCGTACGGCTCTCTGTTCCTCTCCTGCGCAGTCCTAATTTAGTTGCTTTTACCACTTCACAGGTGTGCATGTGGGTTGAGGTTCTGCCATCAACTGCCAACGATTGCTCACATGCGTTTATCCGATTTTATGCTCGTGGAAATCAGGTCTTCCGGATTAGCAACCCAGTTCAGCTATTGTCGCTAGTTAACAACCTCCGCCAGGCGAATGCGAATAGTCGAGATCGGTGGAGCAACGTCTGTAGAGGATTATACGACCTTGCAAGTTGTCAAATGTATTCAGTCAGGGGTCTGCCATGGAGGCTTCGGTACGGTTTTATGGTTAGGAACGCTGTTAGGGTTTGACATGTCATCTTGCTTCGACTTCGGACCGAGGTCAACCGCAGACTATCCTCTAGATGGATAGTTTTTGTCGTTGGTTGACAGCTGCGTTCAGCTGGGAAATGCCTTCTTATCACAGCTAGGAGGAAGAAGGCAGGATTGTTTGAGTTTCCGAGAAACGCAATGATGAAGAATGGTTGAAGATGTGACAATGCAGTATGCAAGCAATCTCGGAACATGTCATGATCAATTATAGTGACGTAAGATACAGTATCCCAAAGTATCCGTATGGAATGTTTCTACCAGCTCCTTTGTTCATACTCTCTGACTGCACGGCCGGTTCCACGGTCGAAGGAAGAGCTCTTAAGTCAGGCACCAACTAATAGCGGCGAGGTAAGTTTTGAAAGAAAGTGTGTTGTTTTATGTTGGCTCACTGTCTTTGCCGGCAACGTGCTTCTTGCCACTGGATTCCGTGACATGGTTAGTCCTTCCTCTAACTAATAATATCCGATCCTTCCGTCACACAGAACGTACTCGCTCGCTTTATCTTCCGGAAAGCTTTTCCAGAGTCTGGTCATGCACCGTACGAACGATGACAAGAGCATGAATGCCAATAAAGACAGGGCAGACGATATTATCGAGAGACTGGGCGTCTCCTCCTCTCTAGATTCGTGCACTCTCGCTCTTCTCAGGACAACGCATGCATAGTTACTAACCAACTGCCCCCTCCTCATCGACAGCGTGGACTTTCGCTTTGATCCACTTGAATCTCCACCATCGCCTGGCATGCAGTGTTGGTTAAGGCCGGGTAATTCTCTCGACTTCCGATTCGTACTCTTCGGCACATTTCGGATTAATCGTCAGCTTGGACCACACCACAATTTTTGTAGAAGCAGAGATTTTTTAGCCACGTCCAGCCTAAGTACCGGAGAAATGATGGTAAGTACGGGATAATCTGTGAGGATCAAGGGTTTGTGATATGAATAGGTCGAGGGTGGCTGGCATCTACCGTATGGAACATTCTAGCCTCCTGCAGTACCTATCTTTGAGTGCTTGCGGCTAGGTTTCCCTACTGCTTTGTACTGGATACGCAAGGGAGCATTCTTTGCAGAGAAGATCACAATGAGACGTTGTGCTCACTCCGCCTATCTAACGGTTTGGTTGCAATGGAGTTGAAATTATGAACTTTAAATTCTCCTATTGCCACAATGATCGTGCTGCAAATTTCGACCAATAAATGAGAAGCCCATAAGTAAGCTGGTAGCGCCACTGCCACCCTAACTGGGACTTTGGCAAAATTCGGTGGAGATGCTAGAGAACCGCTAAATCTGGGGATTATCGAAGAGTGCTAACGGCAGAGGTTACTTACCTACTGAATGCATTCAACTTGAATGGTTATTTGGCACGAGTTTGGCGCTTGGTCACTTAATGAGGTCTCCACGGTAACAAAGTCTGACCCGTAAACATTCGTTTGTTCCAGAAGAAATGCGAATTGGAAGAGCCGGACGTTCGGAACGACAGGTCTGGTGGCTTGACTTGACAGAATGCAATATAAGAGCCAAGCGGCGACACACCAACCAGCAGGCGAGGTGAGACAGGAAGGGGAAACATGCCCAGGAGCAGAGGAAGTTTGAAATCCATCTAATTTAATTTCCACTCTCAGTTTTACTGTGGGCGTTCTGTGAGATTTGGTCTCGGGAGATCTTGGGTTTATCCGTCAATCCGTGGTCTGAGTCCATACCCAGGCCCCTCCTTTTTTCTTTTCCACGAACTCAATCGGTTGCAGAAGGGGAAGGTGTGAACCATTCTGAAGCATACGTAAGCGCTGAAAGCAGGTGGCTGAAGCAGGGTTCCGATGTCCTCTGCGTCTCTGCTACTCTGGCTCTCTGCTTCTCTGCAATTCTGCCCAAGTATTCTGCGCCACCACCTACGCTCTACGAACAACCTGTGGTTCTGAGAATGGAGATGCAGCCTGACACTCCTGTGGTTGTTCACCACAAAAGTAGTGCCGGTGTAAGTGGGGCCATCCAGACGAACAAGTAAGACAGAGCTTCTCCGTATGCTTTGAATCTTGCGCGCTTCATTAGCTGGGTGTTAATCTGAAGCTAGTCAATGTTTCGGGTTTTCCAACGAGATTGGAATTCGAAAAGTTGGTGGCATAGAAGATGAATGCTCTCCTTATCTACTTTACTGTGTGCGACCGTACAGGTCAATAGAAGGCTTTCGATGAAAGTCAGACAGACAACTAAATCCTATGCGTTTGTTTTTCTTTAGTTGTCTGTATGAGCGGGATCGACTGAAATGTTGCGGCTTTCTTTGAGTCTTGCACTCATGTTCTTTCACTCCACCCTTGTAAAACGCCTGTACTTCCCGTCACACATCAGACCCTTTGTCCTCAGGCCGCCGGTTGAAACTAGATTTCATAATTCTCACATCACTCATCTCTGATTTTGTTGTCCTCCCTCGTTGCTTTCCCCGTTCACCACTTACTTGAGTTTTCTCTTTTGGCTCATTGAAATATATTCAAGATGATGAGAACTCAGTCTCACGGTAAGAAATTGCTTGTTACTTCCAGTCACAGTGGCTGAGGAGTTGAGATTCTTGTGCTCCTTCTTTACCATGTCTTTCTTGAACACGGCAACTATCCATGCAAATTTATTGCAAATGTGGTTCTACACGTGGACAAATTCATTTTCAAAGGATTCAAAAAGTTTCGTCATCACGGAGACGATCAACGATCTTCTATCCTGGAATTCTTACTTCTTTGGTCTCAATCTCGTAAACAGTGCATTTTTCTGAACAGACATCTCTGCATGTTTCAGGTAGAAGATTTCGATTTGGCGAAGGTGGGCTAGCATTAGCCTTCTGTGGCTCAGTCAATTTCGATAACATATCTCAACCTTTGCCTACGCGAAGAGCAGAAGATAAGATGTTGCTCAATCTAAGGAAAGCGGACATGGGGTCTTCTGGCTATTATCAACGTACAGGTCAATTCGAGCCTTTACTGGCAGCATTGCTCGATGATCCTGTTCTGGCAGATGTACCAAAAAAACCCACTGTTGCAGATATCGACAAGCTTATCGGTGTTGAGTTGGGCAGTGCTATGAAATTATCTATTCTTAAAATGGATAACACATCATTTGGTAAGAACTCCTGGATCATGTCGGCTGACTAATTGCGGCTGTCGTTTTGGTGTACTAGTCTATGGAGCGTTCGCTATTTGCTGTTTAAAGAAGAAACCTGATAATCTACTTAGATGGCAGTAGGAGTGAAGACGAAATATTGACGTACATTTTTTTGTTAATTTGAGCAACAAGTGTATGAATGTGGCCATAGCTGTACAACTGTTGAGTAGTGAAGCGTTTGGGGCTCAACATTTTTAAGATATATGGAGCCAACTTTTTTTGCTCTTTCTGATCTCTTAGACCTCTATCACTAGAAAGGTTCGAAAAGCTCTTCTGCATGGATAGTAGAGTCCAGTTGCAACCTGAAATACTGGTGGTTGGAATTATTGGAATTCGCAGATATTAGTTGCATGCAGAGAGAACCCATCTGTAAAGAACTTTAACTAGTGGCCATCTATACAGACGTTGCAGTTCTAAACACGGCATCTGTACGCGAGCTGAAAGCAGAACTTGAGAAAAAGGTGGACTCGATGGAGCAAGGGCAACTGGGGCACCGTCACATTTCATGGTAATGTCACTTCTGCCTCGCTCCAGGGGCTGGTTTATTGTGATTTACGATATGAAAATGTTGTGTTATTGTCAGTTTTTGTGATCTACACTTGTGATAATAAAATCAGTTTCACTTAGTCGACATAGATAGGGCGACATTTGAAACTGAATTTGACTATCAAAGCTTGAGAAAAAGATGTGTGATTAAGGAAATTTCTAACTAAGAAATGACTGAGTAGTCTTTTATCCTATTAGCACCTGCTTTCTTACTCGACGGCCCTTACAGCAGGTGATAAGAATTCAAATTTTTGAACTCCGAATTCTTCATTCCTTGTGTAAGACTGAGTTTGATGACTGCCATCTACACTGTCAATTGCGGAATACTAAGCAAATTCATCATCCACCAGTATTCAGGGGAAGATTTTAGCTGATTTTCACAACCCAGATTAAGTATCCTGGCTTCTTGAATAGGAGTCAACATATCAAACCATACTGTTAACGCTCAAAGTGTTCCCATTGAGCACTGTCGTCAGATGCAAATTAAAGTTTTGAAACACCACGTGTTTAGGCCTCTTCAGTCATAGTCTCGGCTACTTGTTGAAGGGTCAATATTTTGGGAAGCGAGGTGGATAGATTATATTCAAATCTACTTAGCCTGTCCACACGGACCAGCCCACATCTGGAAGAACCCCATGCACAAGTAAAGTTTCAATTCTCTGGAAGAAAAAAAGCCACGCTCATCAACATTCAACGGAACCTTAAGTGAACGGTGAGGAAAAACCTGGGACTTGTTTCTGTATGCAGTAAGTTTACTTGCAAAAATCGTTCCGCTCTGTACGACGACATATCGACTTCCGTTGACAGATGTCTCTGATTTCGCAGGAAGCATGTGTGGGGAAATTTTTGCCTAACCTATAATAATGAGAAACTGCTCAATGATGATGCTCTGTTGCGCGAGTTTGGTATCAAAAACAATGATCAGGTATCTATCTACATCTTCCACGGAATGCTGTTTGTGGGAAAAGTCTACTGCTGCCTCAGTGTAGATTGAAATTTGTCTTCAAATCAATGTATGTCTTCTGTGCACTCTGGAACAGGCATGCTATGCTTACTGCCTCTAGTAAATGGCAGCTTAAGGGTAAAAGCAGTGGTAAATTCGTAAAAGAAGTGAACAGAGTTCGTAGATGAATTTCATATTTTTATGTCTCCAATCCCATCCATCCCTACTTTAAGAGTCAGTGAAGACCTAATTTCTACACAAGTATACAATTTCTATACAAATTCTATACACATAATGCTTTACTTTTTCGTCTTCACCGTTGCAGTTACACTTCGCTCGTCATATACCATCAAGAGAAGCTGATGTGCATTCTAGGGCAAAAAAAAGACGGTTCTTCCACGGCTTGCGCAAAAGTATTAGCTTCAACAGCTCATCAACGATTAGACGCAGTATATAGGCATCGAGATTATACCGAAGATACGTAGAGAAATGATTATGAGGAGGATTTGTGCAGGGAAAAGGTGACGTCGCAGCCATAGACAGTAGACACCGAAATCAGCGGAACTACCATTCCGCTTCCTATACTTAGGAAGGGGAAATGTCCTTCAAAGAAGGGTGTACAACATGAATAAAGAAAACGTTCTCCAAAGTCCTTGTCTGCACCGGACTCCCTGAACAAGTCGGTTCAAAGATGTTGTTTTGTCACACTACAATGTTCATGTTTAGAATTACTCTTCGTATTGAGTTCCGCATGACAAATCTCTGGATTTGATGATTCAAACTATCTCCAGGTTACAGTTTTGAGATGTAATAAGAAACCTTAAGTTATATAACAAATCAAATGGTAACCTCTGCAGAAGGTTAAGTCCACACAGCAATTTGGATGTCCATTTTCATCAAATAACACCACTTTCACAATTAGATGTTAGCTTGAACCCATGAAATCTGCGCACTTGGAGAGCATTCACATGTTAGTCATCTGTTGATGCATCCCTGGCTTGCTGGTCGTCTATGACCGTGAAGGTCTTTCTGGAAAAAAATGGTTGCGAAAATATCTTTGCTCATCCCCTAATTCCTTGTCAAGCCTTTATAAGACTTCGATTATAGCTGCCAGATTTTCCTCCTTGCGGACCACATTAACATCATCTTCAAAGTCACCTATTGGCGTTGAGGCCTTACCATGTTTATAATGATCTCCTTAAGGGGTTAAGAAAGTGTAGCTACTAAACTCAAACCTTCAAAGTACCAACAAAACTCGTAGAGCAATATTTTTAAAACATCAGACTATGGTCCCTGGAAGACAGAAACTTGAACTTATTCACAATCTAACTGACTACGTTGCGATAAAGACAGCAATATTTTTTATTACTACAATTCTGAGAAAAGCGTTTCAGGCTGGCCAAGAGTCTGCTCCTCTCCCAGTTCACTCTCCTGTTCACTGCTCTTATCAGAAGCATTTTCATCTGAGAGAGATGCAGTTCTGGAGTTCGAACTAACGTTATTAGGGTCAAACATACGAGATTGGATGGCAAGATCTATTTGTCCAACGTCCGCAGTGGGAAAAACTGTTGTAAGAATAGTAGCTAACAGCGGAGCATCTTCCTCTTCGATATCTAGTCTACCCGTGCAACACTGCAATATGGATTCCAGTGCCTTTTCGGCTCGCAATTCGATGGGGACATCAGGAACTGGAGATCCAGACTTATCTCGTTTCTGCATAATGTAGTCATCAAGTTAAAAGTTAAGGCAACAAAAAAGTTACTCCTTAAGATGGACACGTCAGTATGAAGAGAGACAATTGAACAGCGGTTGTGGAAGAGCAGTTACTTCTATTTATCTCAATTAAATCTTCAGTGAACTACCGATGGAGAAAAAAACATATTCGTCTTTATGCTCGAGGCTCACCTTCAACGCTTCTTCCATGAGGACTTCGAAGTTCTCAACTTCATACTGAATATCGTAGGAAACTCGCAGTCTGGAAGCTCCCATAATCAAATCATCGCTTCTGAGTAATCCCGCTCCTAATGCTGCTGCCCAACACCAGATCAACACGAACTGTGGCTTGGCGACCTGCTAGTCAAATCGGGTTATACACTAAAGAGACAATGATACCTTTGAATTTGTTCGCTACTGACAGACGCCTGTTGGTATTTGTCAAATCAAATGACCAGCTCAGAGAGCACAGGTTGTCCAAGGTGGAAATTGGTTACATTGCTCTTATCCTCTCCAATTTTTATTCCCGTTCGAGAAACGGAAACTAGTGTGGACAGTGGAGAAAGAGAAAATCTAGACAAATTTAAAAAGCTTTTCGAAGTATGCAATCATACAACTAATCAAAGGCTTTTCTTTGCAATTAGATCATCTGCCAACAGGAGGTGAATCCTTGTTTAGACTTTTGAACTTGCTTGCTGTTAGCTTCTCTAGTAACACGAATAAGATCTGAAACAATGTCTACAAAATAAGTTGTCTGAAGTCGACAATTGAATGCATGCCAATCGACATAAACCTATATCGTGATTGTTGAAAGCTGATCCGAGACTTAACCAGCGGAACTTTTGAAGCTATTGATTACTTTCAAAGAATTTGAAAATTTAGGAATAGAAACCTTAAAAAAAGAGAGACCGATTTTTCTGTGAAATGAATCTACTCAGTTGGGCACAGGAAACGAGTACAAACCTTTCCATGCCGATCTGAAAATTCGTAAAATGCTCTGGCTGCCTCACGAGTACTCCGTCTTTCCACGCGAGTGCAAAACTCCTCCAACCGGATTCTATCATTCCCGACGCCACCTTCCGGATTCAGAATTCGAGCCACCAGGCTGACAAGCGGCAACGACCCCTGAAGCTTATTCAGAAACTGAAAAACAGGGTTCTTATTCTCCATATAAGACCGTGCGATGCCACCGATCATTCTTCTCCCCCAGGTCCTCTCCAGGTTCTTGGAAAGCTCTGATGCATGCAAAAGGAGCGACACCCTACCATCCTTCGAACTCAACTGAACAGAGCTCGCGCTGCCCCAGAGAGACGATCTCAGACCAGCAGAGCTGGCTGAGGAAACCGGCGACGCTAGCGCAATATGTAGAACGCAGGGCGGAGCCTGTGCACCCGTGCGAGCGACAGAGCCACTGCACAACGGCATTGTCATAGTTCAATGCCCCTACCGCCGGACAAATTCGACGCCTCAATATAATTCTGTCTCGCCCTCTTCACAGAACACAACACAGGGTAAGACCGGACGTGCCCACAACAAACTCTTCCTTCATCACTCTTCCGATGCTACATCTCCACCTGTGACCAAAACTGCGCTCGAGCGTTCGGGAAGCGCCAGAATCCTCTCGCCTCTCCACTTCACTGACTTCTAGAGGAATTATTCAATTTCAGAGAGTCGCTCGCGATGAGACCGAGAGGGCCTATGAGCGCAGACGAATCCGAGTTCAGAGATTACGATTCCTCGTCTGAAAAGAGATTCTGGGTTTCACCGGCATGGACGCGGTCCCGGAGCTTTCTCCTATCCGAAGGAACAATGCTTCTGGTTCGGGTTGGGTGTGATGATGTGGCATCTCCATGGTGGACAAGCCGGGAGGGTGCAAACAGCTTTCGGTTTACAGTGCTGACAAGGACGAGGCCGGTGGTGGCTCGAGAGTAAGAGAGTTCAGAGGGCTTGACTCCGGGCGCATCCGGTGATATACATTCGGATTTCGGCTTTCTCGAAGTACATATTGTGTGGAGTTGTAGAGGTCACCGGAAGTTCCGGTTATTAGCACACAAAGCTCCAGATGAGGTGGGTACCATTCCTTGCTGGAGACATTAACGATTTCTTGGGGGTGGATAGATTGTGGCTCCAGAACGGCTCGGTGGCGAAGACAAGGCATTCGTGGCAACAGGCAGCCAAGTGGGTGGTCTATCAACTTATATTTTCCCAGTCCTTAGGTGTCGCATTTCGTAACTAGGGCTACTTCGCACAGTCGTGAGGAAAGGCCATAGTACAAAGCCAAGGAGTTTGTGCGAATGGGGCAAGCAGGCAGTTCTTTACAGAGACTTCAACCGAATGTGCAGTAAGTGCAGAACATCCGGTCCAAGAGTTTTAACAACTCATGATCACGTGAATTAAAGATGGGATCCTGACCGTGCGATCCAGAATCTGACGACTCGGGTCCGATTTTCGGAGAAATCTTGAATATGTGCGTGGGAATGGAATGATACAATGCTCGTGTTCTTTGATCTGAGGACTAGACGCTCGTCTCGTTCGCAGGCAGCCCATCTTTGAGCAGCCTTCGTTATCATCTTTTGCGCTACTCATCTTCAATTCTTGATTCTGTTTTCCTTCCTCGTGTACAACGAGCTCCAGAAACCGACGAAGGTGTAGTTTTTGGGATGCTGCTGTTTCTTTGATCCGGTCCATCCTCAAGTCTTACATGGCGAGCATGACTTTAAATTGGTGGGAAGGAAAATTTCTGTGAGCCCTCAATTGTCGACGCCTCTCGTCGAGCTTTAAGTTGATGCTTGAGAACTCCGTCCGGAGTGTGCAAGGCTTCTTAAACTTGAGACTTTGGTATGGTTCACGTTGTAAAGCTGATGGAATGCATGATTTGGTTGATTCAAAGATTGTTCTCAGGCTTGTCACAGTAGCTGTGAGGTCTTGTTAGATGTTTCTCTTGATTGGTTGAATCTGGCGTTGAGATATAGCAATTTGTGAACAGGTAAGTAATCCAGAAGTTGGGTAGTTCTTAGGTACATAGGAAAACTCGAATGAACCTCGAGCGTAGGCTCTGTAAATATGGCTTCCGCCTGTTTTATTCTTCTTACATTTCTCGAAGTGGACTGTTGATTTTCGTCGAAGGAATGGGTAAAGTCTGGCCAATAATGTTTCGTAGTGCCGTTCCGCTCTGTTCGAGTAGCATTAGATGGTGAATTCAAGATTGATTTGACTTTGTTTTTCGGAACTAGAGCAGTTTTGGTCTTCGCTTTAGCTCCTTCGAGGTGCTCGTACTCAGATCGTTGTCAGTGAGTCAGTGTCTTAGAATTCACCGTAACCGTCGCCATGCGTTATGATTCGCAATCTGTTCTTCCAAAGAGTGAATGTGATGATTGTTAGATCCCATAAAGTGGCAGATAGCGATTGCCTCTGAAGTAGCATGGTATTGACCAATGCCACATTGCGTATCAAAGAAGATCTCTTAGAAGGAACGTTCGGCAACATTCATGAGCCAAGACAAGGATTCGTAGTGCATACAGCCCTGAGAAGGTTTTGATATCTATATTGATTTCAAACGGTATTAGAGAGCTGTAACATTTACAGAAAATCTCTCGTTTCTTTCATGTTACTGAAAGAAAAGCTTTGCCATGATGACAGGAGTGGAAGCTTACTCTGCATAATCGATACCATAACTTGCATGGAGCAGTTCTATGCGCTGCGATAACTCATACTATTGATAACATTCTGCCATTGATCAGAGAACCATGTCCACCTGGACTATACGGGGCCTGAACTCACCCTGTACAGTGCAATGGAACACCCGTTCCAACTGTTCTGCTCCAAGAGTGTCAAGAATCCAGAATACCTCTAGGCTGAATTTTGGATGCGATTTTTGCGAGAGGTCGAGGATTCAGGAAAGCCAATTGCCGCCAAAGCTCCCAAGAGACGCTCTCAATCGTCAACCATTTTCATGGTCATCCCGAGAGAGAAGGAAGGGGTTCCTGAAGCAAAATGGGCCCAAACTGGCCACGTTCATGGTCCAAGCATCACTAGAGGACAGCGAGAAGCAAGATATGACGGATTTGAGCAATGAGAAGGCGATGGACGAAGAGTTGAGAACCAGAGTTAGATTACCCCAATTTTGCTCAGATTTAGAACGTCCAAACACAGGAAGATCGATGATGAACAACGCGTTTGGCGGAGGATATGAGAGGGATGTAATTCACAAGGAGATAGTTCGGAGGATGAACTCTGTGGGTGGAGCCGATCTAGACAAAAGAGAAAGCTTTCGTGTCAGATATACCACGCAGAGTTTCTCCGAAATATCCGCAAAAACTGAACGCGGGCCAGACGATATCCTCGCTTTGGAAGATGACAGGTGTAACCAGCTGGGGGGAGAACAAGGAAAATTTGAAAGGAATCTTGCTGCAAATTCTCATTCCATGAAGAAAAGAAGAGTGCCATCGAAAGAGCACGACGAACAGGTTCGGTGGGCTAGACGGAGTTTGCTGAACCATTGCATTCCAGCCATTCTGGAGAAACTCGGCTTCAACGTTGCTTTCAATAATTTAGCCACCAACCAAGTCCTCAGTGGCCATTACAACGTCAACGTAACGGTCTCCTACGAGATGAGTCACCAACCTTCTCCAGGGGATGGATCGCAGTCTCTGGCCAGAAGTGAAAGGGGAAATGAGTTCCTTAATCAGGCCAGCGATTTGCGTCTTTTTACAACTGACTCGATAAGACAGGTTTGTGCTGCTTGAGCATTCTTACATATCAATCAAGAAATCATTAGTAATCTACACGTATAAATCTTTTATGCATTTACTCCTTTACTGTACACTTAGTACTGAAGGTGGATTTGCATACATGGTGTAAAATGTGCTTTCATTAATCTAACAGCCTTCTGTGAACGACTGTTACTGCTACCACAGCAAAATAGAATACCAATTCTATATTTGTAGACTGGATTCGAAGCAAAGGCAGTTCTTTTCATTGTCTTTATATATTATAGTAGATGCCAACGGCGATCAAAGGTAATACATTGTGCTCATAATCATCTATCACACTAACATAAGGGGCGTCATTTCTGCCGCAGATTGCACAACCTGTGAAATTCTCGACTTCGACGAAGGGCTGCACAGATGGCAGGCAACATCCCCCACGAACTAAAATCGATCCATCTTTGCGATCCGATCTCTATTTGGACTCACACATGCTGGCTCCAAGTCCAAGAAGATTTGGGAAAAGAGTGCGTGTCCGAAGTCCCGGGAAATTGTGGATGCAAGCTGATGGGGAATCAAATTCACCACCATCGAATATGTGGAGGGACTTGTTCACCATCATTGGCTTGAGTGCTTTCATCATTTGTGGCACGTATGCCTTCGCTGTAAGTAATCGGTACTTGAAGTTTGGTTCGAAGAACAATCCTTGTTCGATGACAACGCGTCACTGTGGCTCAGATCCCCATTCCACGACTACATTGTAAGGCTCACTAAGTAAAACCTGGTCAATTCTACTCTGATCATTCTTTTTCTCCTACGCATTACGTACAGCCCTTGTTGTTGCAAATCGACACGAAGATAAGGGGATATTTAAGTGCACTTGTATCTGATAGACACGCATAACTAGCGAATGATGATGTAAAGGCTGTATTTAAGTCCTCCAGTATCGTTATTTCTTTGCAGGAAGCAAGCCTCTGTTATCGAACTTTCCAACTCCAACTTTGAGACCGCAGTGACGAGGAAGTAAGTTTGTACAATGTAACTCGGATAGTTGTCGTAAAATCGCTACAGCATATGAATTGTCGACGCAATCAAATCATACTGGAACAGCTCATATATATGATACAACAGAATAACGGGCTGAAAAATGATGAACTAACAAAGGTCTCGTAGGTACTTGTGCAAAATTAAATAGCTATCTCATTAAACTTCAAACCCAGACAGACACCAACGGCACATCATTCCTGGAGAATCGATCATGGTGGGATTTGTTTCTTATTTGAAGCAAATGGTTTATTCTGGCAGAGTCTTACGTCACTTTTACTCCTGTCTTTCTCATGGATTCTTCACGTGGATGTTAAAAAAAACTTACACTAAGGTCTTAAATTTTGGAAAACTTTATGATCAGATCTAACATCCAAAAGTACTGCTGTATATCTCTAACCGAGATGTGAAATCTTCATAGATTCTTTCCACGATCCAAAGGCCATGACTTCATAGGAGAATTGTTGACTGAAATTCACAACAATCATAGAGTGAAAGCTATATTGTGTCCCTCCACCGGTACCAAGATACTCACAAACATGCATCGATTACCTTCTCGTCCAGGCCAACTTTCGTTTTGTTCTACGCCCCTTGGTGCTCTCACTGTCAACAGCTGGAGCATACGTGGAAGGACCTAGCATGCCGTCTGCCCAATAAAGGATATGATGTTCAGGTTCGGCCTCTCCCTTGTCCTCCCATAATCATCATAGGTGAGGTTAGCTCCGTGATGTCGGTGCATTGAAAGTTTGAAATTTTTTGAGGCCCGCTAGCATATCAAACTTACATATTATTCCTGAAATTTCGGTCGCAGCTGGCTCAGATGGATGCAGAAAAGTATAACCAACTGGCAGAGAAGTTCAAGGTTGTGAAATATCCAACTCTCATATTCTTTAAAGATGGAAAGCCCACCGACAGTCATACAGGGCCTCGTGATGTGGACTCGTTGATGACTTTCATCGATGAGAATTACATGTAGTTTTTGATGCGCATGCTTGTGACCAATCAGGTCTTCAGAAGCTGAACCTTGATATTGTAGTGATCACTACTTGAGACTATAGAAAATTTTATCCTATACAATTTCATTTAGAGACGCCTGCCTCTCTAAGTGTCAAGGTTGTTCATCTGTCTTCACGCCATGTCTTCTATAACAACTTTTATACGAGGGTAGTGCGACGTTAAAAATTGCTAGCAAGATTTCAGCCATGCTTGTATCATCACCCTTCTTGTATACTACTTTTATTTCAAGCTGGGAAGCATTATTCTGTACCTCTTCAACGAATGGATCAGAAGCTTCTCCGCTACTAATACTTAACAGCACCGTTTGACAGTTCCTCGAGAACAGCACATGTGTAATGAATTTGCTGCTATCTTTTTTCTGTGCCAAGAAGAACAGAAATATTCATACAATTTATGTTTTTGGCTTTTGAATTCATCGATATCAATTCCGAAAGAGGCCAAAAAATATCAAGCATCGGCACAAATATGTCCCAATCAATTACCGTTCGGACATGATACAGTTAAGTCCACACAGAATCGGAAAAGAGAGCGCGCAACAGAGGAAAGATTTCACATTTATTCGAAATTCTCATTGGAGATAGTCTGTTACTTGGAGATACTATTATCAGTACTGTATGTCACTATTCGTTCCAAAGAATCACTAGACTAAGTTTGCTGCAAGCAAAACACTGTAGAATGCTCTAATAGAAGCCTTATCTTATATCTTTCGTAATATAGAAGACGTGGGGCTATTCTACTGGATGACTCGGTCACTTAGAAGGCTATTTCTAAACCGTCAGACTTATTGATTGAATCTAGGTGGTCATGTATCTCTGCAAGGTTCTAAGATGATGCAAGTGCACAGAACCTTCTTCTTGAGAGTTTTTTTTGGAGGGTTGATTGTCTTTTGCGGCCACTTCTCCAATCTTGAATCCTAACTAACCTCCTCCTGAAGATGCGCCATATCTTTGAGTTGTGCCATAGTGAGGACCAGGTCTTGTGGAGCAAAATAGATGAAGAAGAGATTCTGCTCTTCTTCATCTATTTTCCAGTCTCAGAGAGTTACAATACCTTGGATTGGGAACGCTGTGAATCCACAAATATTTCAACCTCGTGCTTCTCTCCTGACTGGGTAGTACGTGCAGCCGAAACCGGCACCGAGTACTAGCCATCGGTCAGGAGAGAGACGTGTAGCTAAGCATCTGATGTAGAATTGGGAACACGAAACTAACAAATCAATCATTGTAATCGTTCACTTCTTCGTTAGAGAGTATTTTCATGCTTTTTATTTTTTTTGGTTAGCGAGAGCACTTTGAGAGATCGCAAAACTTTCTAAAGGTTTCGAGTGGTCGGAGGGTAACGTTGAGTACAACGGAGCAGGCTTCCTCCCGGGGGTGATAGTAAGACTGACACATTGATCGAGATGGCGATGGCAGAAGAGAGAAGGAACATCGCGAAAGCGTTCAGATATTTCCGATATGAAAGAACTAGAGTGCAACTGGCGCTCATCACAGTGCAATTGGGGTATGGATTTTACTATGTCTTGACGAAAGCGGCCATGAGTGAAGGTGTGAATCAATTCGTCTTTGCAGTGTACCGGGATGTCATAGCTCTTTGTCTTCTCGGGCCCTTCGCATATTTCTCCGAAAGAGAACTCCGCACCTCATTGACATTACCCACTCTGTTGATGATTTTAGCTCTCGGATTCACTGGAGTCTTCCTGCAGCAGACTCTTTTTCTGGCAGGTCTGACGTACACAAACACAGCATTTGCAGCTGCCATGCAGAACGCCATTCCCGTCTTCACGTTCATGATTGCTTCTATTTGCAAATTGGAGGTGATCCGCATTAGCAAGGCAGATGGAATGGCAAAAGTGGTGGGCATGTTTGCAGCAGTTGCAGGAGCTCTGACCATGTGCCTTTACAAAGGTCCTACTCTCTTCGGCACTGATCCACAGATTGCAGAACGAGAGAGGCAATCTTCCGACGACGCTCCCACCCCTCACGTGGAAAATGGATGGTTTATCTCCACTCTGCTAGAGTTTGGACTTGACTACTGGCAGATTGGCGCCCTGTGTCTTGTGGCCAACTGCCTTTGCATGGGCATATATACCAATCTACAGATTCCAGCTCTCAGGAGATTTCCTGCGCCCGTATCATTGGCAACTTCCTCCATTTTCGTTGGATCTGTGGCTCTGGTCATCACAGGTTTATTCAGCATCACGCATGTATCTGACTGGATCCTTCGCTCGCCAGGAACCCTCATTTCGGTCGTCTACGCCGGCTCGATTGCATCGGGTCTCAATTTCTCCCTCCAAGCTTGGGCTAATCATCGAGGCGGACCAGTATTGGTCGCAGCCTACATTCCTCTCCAAACAGTCTTCTCCGCGTTTCTTGGAGTGGTAATTCTCGAAGATCCACTTCACTTGGGAAGTGTGATCGGAGCCGTGTTCATTCTGGCAGGACTTTACCTCGTAATTTGGGGCCAACGTCTGCACAGATTATGCAAAGAGAGAGAGTGTATTTCCACTCCTTTCTCAGGTGTGGCTTACGACGTTAGGGAACCTTTGCTTAAGGAAACCATATCCGCTGGAAGACCACCTGCGGACCATTCTACGGAGCCATTGCAAGATCATAACTGAAAGGCAGTTTTCGTTATTACAAGACGCGAGGTGCCTTCATGAACAGGATGGTGCCACAATCGAGAGAATCTACTCGTACTCATGGCAGTGCAAGCAGCAGGAGTGGCGTCTGAAGCAGAAGGTTGAGTGACGTTGAGGTTGTACATACGAATTTGTTCTTTCCATGAAGCTGAATCAGGTCAAGCCTCTAGGGTGGGTTTGGTGCCTGAAATCATTTGTTCATAACAGACTTGATAGGAGATATGCTTGAAGAAATCTGTAGATACTTTCTGGATTCAGCTTACGTTCAACGCAGATCTATTTTAATTGGTAGCCTGCCAGCACTCATAAGAGATAACCTACTGGATGATGTGACAGGCGGAATCTGATCAGTACGAACAATAGATCTACTGCTTATGTCAGGACAAATTCCCCTAACTTAAGGACATCGAAATCTAAAACTAACTATGATGACGGCCAGACTGGCCACAGTATCAAGCTTAGGCTCATTATCTTCAGATTCTGCACATGCAAGACCCAGTAGCAAGCTTGTCCAAACTCAAACTTAGTCCACGCACTCTAGAGAACTAACACTTGACAATATTTGCGTGATTTGATAGATGTAGAGTCAATGCAGTCTACATCTCTCAGCTGAGCACATTGCTCAGGGAAGCTCTATTATCCGTGATGAAAACTGATGTCTGGTTGTGTAGAGAAAATTCTTTAGCCAAAGAATTCGCTTTGAATTACATACTGCAGAATTCTTCCGAAAAGAAGGTGTGCCTTAGCTTGTATAGCGTACCTGTGTTCGGTAGCCCTCTTTGTACACATGCAGTAAACTATAAACAGGGGCTAGATTGATTCATGTACAGAGCTTATGAAATAAAAGCACCTCACTGGTTTCCACTGTTATGAACTTCTTCATGCAGCTGAGGATTCTCATGAAGGAATATATTGCATTTTACATACGCGCACTCTCCGTAACCTTGAAGAAGCACTGTTTGCTGAGAGCATGCAGTCAAATTTCCCGATGATGTATGACTCACAAAACCTTTTGGTAGCACGAATGACTACTTGACTGGAGAATTTTATTTTACTAACTCAACATCACTATGTGCGGCTAGTGCGGCTAGCATTTCAGTTAAAGGCCAAATTTCATCCCCTGGCAGATCACACTTAATTTATAAGCAATGGGCATTTATGCTTTAAATAAGCGATGCTCTAGAACATGCGGACATCCAGAAGACTAATCCGGAAACATGCACAGTAATGTACAATTTGTTCCACTTTTTTATACTTCCATTAATTTGGTATGCTAGTGCATATATGAGAGAAAGCAACCATATTATTGGATATCTTAATGTCAAACTTAAATTGGTGGTTAATGCCGACTAGGGCTCCTATCGGGTTCGGGTAAAACTGGAGTTCGGGTCCGGGTTGAGGGCTGTACCGACCCGAAAATTAAGCAGGGCGGAGCCGTTGGAACGAGACTATGTTTCGTTATCCGAAAATTAAGCAGGGCGGAGCCGTTGGAACGAGACTATGTTTCGTTATCCGAGACCTCCGGAATAGAATATCTTGTAGAAAAAAGTTATAGAGTTTAGAGGTTGGGGTCGGGTGATTCACCGAAGCGGAGCGTTGTGTAAATAGTCGAAGGTTTCTGATGAAAACAACGGGAGATATCCGAACCTGACATGAGTAAAGCAGATGACGACAGACCAGCTGCAAGTCCAGCTGGTCCGTCGTCATCTGCCTCTGCTCCTCCTCCTCCTCCCGCCTGCTGGGCACCTCGCTGGATGCGATGCAGGCACCCGCTCTCTTGCTCGCTCGCTTCTGCGTCTAGGTGGGCCGCTGTGCGCTATGTATGCTGCTCGTGCTGACTAGTCGAAAAATACTCACATCGCCTCCTCGTCAAGAAAATACTCGCAGCTCCAAATTCCCGATTCTCCCTCGCTGTACCCTCACGATCATGGATCCCCCCATCGATTCGGGTTCTACCCGAATTGACCCGAAAAACCGGGTTTCTCAGGTCGGGTTCGAGTTGAAGGTCAAACCCGACCCGATCGGAGCCCTAATGCTGACAGTGAAGACCCTATACTGTTAGGAAATCCTTGTTGTTTGCGTTCCCGATGTCTGTTGGAAAACTTCGATCCAATAAAATGATGTTTTCAAAGCTGCAATCTCTCAACGTAAGCAGCATAAATTGTAACGGTCCCACCACTAAGAATGTCCAGCCAGAACAAGTTGTAAATGCGTTCCGATTCTACCCAGAGATTCGCAAGAAAATATAAACGCACGTGAAGAGTCCTCATTGGCCCTTAGATACTGATGTGATCCGCAGCTTGAAAGTGCTCTCAACAATCCTGGATTTCTGGGAACAAGCTGCGGATCACTTCGTTCTAGAAGATGGCGTGCAAGCCAAATGCGAAGTTATCCATCCACGCCAACATCCGAGTTTCGCATACATTGATCGAATTAAATATTACTTCCTCTCCATAACGACTGTGACTGCACTGCTGCAAAATTATCGGGTCCGTCACGCGTATGATTACAGCAGGGGATTGTACACGAGTCATAGTGCAATCCTGTTGATGACGAGAGATGCGTCTTCCCAAAGCAAAGCCTGCCGTACCGGTTCCATTCAACCTCGCTGTAAAGGACGTGGGCTGTAGGATTCGGATCTAGACCTCGTGAGTCCCAACCCGTAACGACGAGTTCTACCCTGGAAATAGAAACATAAATCGCACTTGTTGTCGATCCGTGATGAGCTGATGGAAAGCCATATTTGCAGTGATCGTTGCCAACATCCTTGCCCACACGGGAAGCCAACTTCGGATGCGACTTCGCTCGGCGAGTCGGAGTCACCATGAGAATCATCATGGCATCTCCTATCGCAAATCATCGCAAATCTCTTGCAATCACGCACGAAAATGCATCCGGTATCATTTGAGTAGCTCAGGAGCTTGACTGGCTTATCCCGTCTTTCACACACGTCGTCCTCCAGCTCTGCTCTTGATCATGAATTGCTCTGCTCCAGCTCTTGCTCTGCTCTGCAGCCTGCTCTTGATCATAAATTGGCATCGTTCTGCATGCGCAAGTAGCATGCAGCTTTGGCCTCTCTGTGCTCTGAACTCGCTCATGGCCACTTTGGAACTGTAAATGCTCATACAGAGAGGTCGAAAATTTGTAAGATATCTCCTCAAGATCAATGTCAACGTGAAGCGCTCTCTACAGATGCCAAGTATACTGCATCCATGGTTCACTCGCAGTGAATAAATTTAGTCTTTGAAATTCAAAATTTAACTCACCAGGACGTGTGTTTCTTGAATCAGAATGAACAATTGTTACCGCTGAGTGTTTGACATGATGCGTGTAAACTCTATAAATATATCTCATTACAGGATCCTATTATTAAGCACGGAATTGCTGACTCCAAACTCCGTACTCATCACACAAATTTGAGACAATGGCTCGTTGGAAATTGTGTTCCCGTTGTGGCCGTACTATGGCTCTAAGACTCTCACCATTCCAGTACATAGACAATGTCGAACAAGTAATGAACCTGTAAAACACAACATGACTTCCGATGCTCATCGTTAAAGATCAATCCGTCAGAACGTAGATTCTGATTGTTTCTCTTGCTTGCCTCATATCTTGTGATGGCCAGCAATGAAACTGAGTCTGGAACGTTATCAGAATGCATCCTTGTGAGGAAGCCTGCGACGACCGTCAAACCAGCACGACAACTCCTCTACGGGAATCATGATCAGTAAAAAGTTTTTTCCTCGGTCGGTGGAAAAGATACGCATAACATTGTCGCTGGTTGCAGCTGCAGGAGTCAAGTAGTCTTCGCAAGAGTCTCGTGCCGGCTCCACATTCTGCCGAGTTTTCTGAAGGCAATTCTCTCGGATCCATACGTGACCACTGGAATTTAACACATGTCACCGATGAATTTGGATACTCAGAGGACTCTTTATAAACTTCATATTATTCTCCAAAAATTCGGTAAGATTGTACTAACACCAAAGTGTATCATTTTGCTTAGTTCATAGTACAGCATATACGGTTGAATGTATAAAAAATTTCAACTAAATATACTACATATTTCATACATTTTATTGTTATTGTACTATATAGCAACCAATCATATTATGCTATTTAGATGGTATGTTGATTTACATAGTTCAGATAAGTAGTTTGAAAATATTATATACAACAACACATATTTTAGATATTAATTCTATGGTTCCTTTGCCTTCATCCCAACACCTTCATCCCAACACAACTTCAATAATTCCTCCCCACCTTTTGGCCACTAACCCCCTTGCACTAAACATTCTTTACATTGTATTTTCAACAAGCATTGATAACCAACTTGTCTAATATTCCAGGAACAATGCTACAATGCTTATGTGCAACTAAGCGACTCGCTTAGTTGCACAAACTTATACAAACTGCCGTAGTGCCAGGTGTCAGGGATCCCAATTTCTTTCTACTCTTTCTTTCTTGCTTCATGTTCCATTCGGGCAGCCTCGAGACAGCCGGATTTTATCTCAGTTTTGTATACTTGAGGGTCCGCGGACCTGACTTTCCGACAACCATGAGGCCATCAACAGGATTAAATTCTGACAACCATGTAGAGGCATGTAGAGGCCGTTGTTTTAGTTAAACTAAAACTAATCCGCATGAGAGATAGCTAAATTGGAATCTCTAATAAATTCAAACTGTAATATTTGTAATTCAAACACTGAGAACATATCGTGGCGACAAAATTTTAGGCGGCAAAGTTTAGGGTTTTTGAAAATAGTGTCACATCGATATCCTCCAGCTCGTCGATGTTTCAACGTCGCTTTTGGGTGTCAGTGTCAGTGCTGTGAGAAGCTCGTGCCAGAGCTCGTGCTTGTACTTTTCTTGTCATTTCATGTGATTTTTGCAGGTGTGGTGACAGCATGGAGGCAAGATAGATTGTGCAGGATCCACTGTGGGATGGTACTTTCAATTTGTTAAGCTTGAATTGGTCGAATGAGACGACCTACATCAAAAGCTCGAGGTTTAACAACATTGTTTCGGGAGAGGCATTTTGTTATAGTGATGCGAAGATGGAATTTGTGACACGTTGCTCATAGAAGGGTGGAGTGGCTAGGCACCGTTGGGAATCATATACAATGTACTATTGCAATATGGTACTTGAAAAAGGGGCAAGAAGAGTATGTTTAGCTCAAATTTTATTCAAGATCGGTCAACAAAGGCAAAATTTGATCCAGGCAGCAGGGATAGATTAGATCATGATTCTCATCACAAGGCTGTCAGTGCAGGTTTAGTGCCATTAAACTGCTGCCTAATAATCACATTCCACCAAGACCACGAAGTTGCTATACAAGCATACAAGACACGTAAATGCTGCAGGTGTAGCTTGTCATGGCACAATGTGTCCGGATAGTGTTGGCTTGCCATCTCAGATGGCGCACAATTTATCCTCCGAGTGCAGGTAACGACATATTTGTAATACAGTAGAACCTCTATAATCTTATCAAGCTGGGACCGGCCCTTTTTGATGAGTTTATAGAGGTGATAAGTTTCTAGAGTTTATTAAAATTGATTCATTTAATTTTGCTTGATTGGTCTCAAAACCATCCGAAAGGTTGCAGAAAGGTATGGAAGGTTAGGAAGGTTACGGCAAGGAATGCAAGAACTCAAAAAGACATAGAAGTTGTTTGATACCCAGGTTCCGTGTGTATTGGCTGTGGTATTGTAATGGGGTGTGTAGGGCACTGTATCCTGGCGTACTGTATACAGTTGGACTGTGTAGAAGAAAAACCCAGGAAAATCCCTAAACCACGTCAGATACTTAAGCAGCCAACAAACAAATGTGAACAAAAGCTTAGGCAGACAACCATTACAAGTTTC